TAACGTCTAATTATGTAAAAGTATTAAATAGCTGACTTAATGGGATACGAAACGATTTGCTGGGACCCTTAAAGAAATTTACAACGGGTAAATCTTAATAGAACACAGAGAAGAGCAGGTAACTTTGCTTTCCAGAGAAATATGAAGAAAGTCAAGAAAGAAGGAAGAAAGGAAATCATTAGAAATCGGTAGGGTTTGTGACCTAGACTTTGTGCTCTATACGCATTATGCCGGTTATTCAGCGTGGAAATGTATCTCTAATCGACTTGGTTCACTCATATACTTAGTTAAGGGTATCACACGTACAAAATACAGTTGAGGGCTCAGAGAACAGATGTTGGGAAATTTTCCGCTACTAAAAGAACTATTACGGACTGGAGTAAGTTGACTGGGACAGTCATTTAACGCTTTCTTCCAAGTATTCAAAGATTAAGTATTTCATAATAGTTTGTTTTATTAGTTCATACTCAAGGCAGTTATATCTACTTCTGATTATCACTGCAGTAAGGAACGTTAACCAATTCTTCGAATACATTAATAATATTTAACAATACTCTAAGTTGCAAGCAAATTACTGTCCCAAATAACATACAAAATTGAGATGAATATTCGCTGGGTGAATATTGAATGAAAAAAACACGTGTACTGCAGAGTGCACTCGACTGAGTCGAGTCTCGCGTGATTTCCCAACTCACGCCAATCTTCAAAGAATCTAGAGTCCCTAGATCACGATGTAAGAAATATATCTTACACCGTGTCGTAGATTCAGTCCCTGTTAAGGGACTCTAAAACAATTGTTTCACTCGGGACACCTAGTGTTCACAATGCCAACTGTTTGGAACAGCTCTAAAATTCTGACCAATCAGAAGGCTATATTTGGGATTGTAGAATGAACATGGTTACGATTTGGAAATTGCCGTTTGGCGCGCCCTTGGTCGCGGGTAGCAGGCGCCAGGAGGCGCTAAGGCAGAATGCGCCGCGCCCAAGCGGGCCCTTTCGGAAAGCGCTCGCCGGCCTCGGAACGCCCCCCCCCCCCCCCGGGCATCAGCAGCCTCTCAGCCCGCGCGGGAGATCCGCAGCGCGGCGGCGGAATCCGCGGGACCGTTCGCACCGGAGCGGCAATTAGGGCTCAGCATTTGGTGACAGTTTTTCTCATTCGATCAACAAAGGGGAGCGAAGGCTTCCGAAGGCGGACAGACTTTCTCGAAAATAGAGGGGCAGCGGTCGAAAAGCGTCCGGCGCGAAACTTCCCCTGCGGCCATTCCGCAAAGGTTGCGGATCTGGGAGAGCCTTTAAACTCGCCAACAGAGACCAGATCTTCGAAGTCAATGTGTGTAAGAGTGGAGCTGTCCTCTTCACACGGAGACGGCGATTCACACAACCGAAGCCGCTCGCGCTATGCGGAGACCAGACGAAATGGGCGCAAAAGTAAAATATCTACGTGTCACTCTCAATAGCCCGCTTATTTTTAATCGTCACATAGAAATCGCGCAGAAGAAGTGCGGCAGACCAGAGGCAGATGGAGAAGCTTGTTTCGCGGAGCAAACTGTCAACGGCAAACTGCTTCACGCTTGATATAAAGCACTCATTAGACCCCAAATGGACTACGCATGCCCCAGTTGGGCAATTGCGGCAAAAACGCATTTGAAAAAAAAACGCAAGTAGTTGAAAGTGAATACCTCAGAATGCTTGAACCCCTACATGCGCTAAAAGTTTGTCATTATTTTGAGACTCCGGTACATAAGTAAATTCACATTAAGTTGCTCATAAAGCGATCTCCACCTTTCTTGCAAGAGGGGTCCCAACCTTCAGAGTGCACACCAATGGATTCTGCCTCGATCACCTAAACTCACATTAAGTGCTTCGTGAGTAACGATAATGCTTTAGAACTTGGATACTTTGAGGTTTGAGACGATTCTTTTTACGACCAGCGGTAAACTTTGATACTTTACACTACAGAAATAAATACGAAATTTGTATTGTCTGAGAAATCAGATACCTCTTCTTTATACAGATCTGGTAGTCACATGCGTGCTCCGTCTGGTGCTCCTGATTCCCTAACCAGAGAGGTCTTCGAGATAATCTACTAACATCATGGAGCTATAACTTCCCTCAATGCTCCGCTGCCAGGGCCAGGGTTTGTTATTGCTTATGCTTATGCCATTGTGGCCCCGGGTTAGCATCTCTGAGTTAATCACCCGGTCTAAAGTAAAATCGTCGATCATTCTCTCGCATTTGGGAAGCATTAATAGAAGAAAATTGTGATGCGATGATGGCTCTAAAGTGAAATGGGCGTATCGAAATGAAAAATATGAATTAATGTTACATACGTACATATATATATATATATATATATATATATATATATATATATATACATATATATATATATATATATATACCAAAATCTACCACAAATAACTTAAATTACTTAACATTTCAACATATGTGGGAAATGACATTACAAATTAACATGAGAACAGAAATATCACAAAATGACTAATCTAATTTCAAGAATAATACATATGTGCTTCATGTGCAAAGATTAAAACAAGCCTTGAAAATATAAAGGTAAAGGGAGAAAAAAATTACAGCAAATGAACAATGTAACAATGATAAATAAATAAAAATAAAAATCACGAATTACAAACAGCGTTCCCAAAGTACTAAAGACAGAATCAGCAATCTACCTAACCTTGATAAGAGGACGAAGACATATTAATGTTAATAACCTAGTCGAGCAAAAAAGCAGAGTCACAGTAGATCCGTCTTTTTTACAATCCATCAACATTGCAGAGGTTTTTAAATGATTTATTATCTGAGGGACATCTGTCTCCAATTTGTGTCAATAATGTCTTCAATATGAGATATTCGTTGTTGGTTGAAGAATTTGATATCTAATTAGGTATTCAGAAGAATAAGATTCATAGGAATGACATGAGTTCACAGATAAGTATTAACGAGAGAGCAGGTACTATTTCTTTAGCCGATCGAAAACAATAGTAGAATACACAACATAGTTAACGATATGGAAAACCAGTTCCTTGACGATTTCTCTTCTTCGATAACGACGAAAAGTTTGTGCTTAATATGAGATGAAGTGTTGGAGATATGTCTAAATAATATTCCAGTACAAAAAATCTACATTTTACGAAATATATTCTACTAATAGAAACGACGAAAAATGCAATTTTGAGAATGGACGGGAATGAGTCGCTTACTACACCTCTGTATCGATGTGATTCCGACCGCCTTTCTCAGCCGTTCGTCAGAATTGCAGAGCTCACGCTATCCACCACAATGATCTTCCGAGCCCTCCAGAACACTCCTCAACAGCGCTTCTTACGTTGGGAATACGCACAATAAGTATTATGTATTAGCATGTACCGATAAAAAAGGAAAGATTTCACTGGTTCATTAAAAAAAATGTTTTCAATATAAAAACAAAAAAATTAAAAAACTTTTCTAAATATCTGATTTTTCAAACCGGATTTAAGTCAAAAATCTCTATTTTCAGAATTGAATTTTTGCGATGTAATGTTTTTGCAATTTTTAAAAATATAGAGAGTTTGCCGAAAATGAGACCAGAGCCAATTTTTTTTACCGTCCTTTGATACATACGGGGAGAAATTCTAAAGAAAAACCTTTGGAGTCGTTTTTGAGAAAATTATTGTTTAAAATTTGCCTATAATTCACGCCAAAACTAACATTTTCGAAAAATTGTATTTGACATTATTTGAAGATCTATCTTTGAACATCAGCTATCATTAAGGAAAAAATATATATCTTCAATATAGAAGTTGTAGAAAGACGCCGATAAAATTTTGAACTTTTGTTATTTTCAAAAATTCAGACTTAAACGAAAAATGAGACCCGCGACATTTTTTAAGACTGACAGACGGACGTACAGAAGAACATATTTTCAGTCAATCGATTTTTCGGTATTCATGACCCACAAATTGTGGATTACGACTACATAACAAGAGAAAGTAACAAGATTTATCCACTTTTCGATACCAGAGCTCGACAATAACAATTTTTCCGTCAAAAAATTGGTGTTTTCCGCCGCACGAGTACTTTTCCTTTACTACGTATGTAGTAAAGCGAGGTAGAAAAAATATACTTCTTTTCTAAATAGTACCTAAAGATGACGAAACATACATCGAAAAGTAATGTTATTTCGCTAAGGCATTGATATAAATTATATGTTTTTTTTAAATTTGGCAATCATTTTAAAAACCCACAATTATTTACAAAAACAATTGTGGTAAAAAAAAAGATGTTTCAAAACATGTTAATCTTGGGCAGTAGGATAATTAATCGCCGTTAGTTGGAAATTAACAATTAATACGGTCTAAATTGTATTTCCATTCATCATTTCTTCTTCTTCCTTGTCCAATTTATTACTAGGCTGCTGCCTTTGAAGGCAGATTTTATGTTTTTTTTAAATTTCAAAGCAGATCTGCCCCAATAAACAACATTTGAATGTATACTTTTATTTTTGGTTTGTTTGTTTCCCCTGGAATTACAAACTTAATATACATTTTCTTAGCATTTGTTTTGTCTTCATGATATAATATCATGAAGACAAAACATGATATTGTATGAATGTATAAATTTTCATAATGATATAATATCATGAATCAATATCATTGTTTCAGACAATACATGTTCATTGAGAATTTACGACAATTTCAACATTATGTGTTATCAACATTACAAGAAAATGCAGTGGACAATTTTCAATCCTATAAGTTTCATTTATAACTTAGCTAATAGTGTCAGTAATTCATTTCAGAATACAGTCTTTTTAATGGCAAATTGTAAGAAAATATTAGTTTTCAGGACATTAGTATGATATTTGACACAACTAGTGAATTATAACATCTTAAAATTTGTAAATTGTGCTATTTTCCTCATGACTTCTATGAAATCATCTTTACATCATGAACATTTCTCTAGTGCCTGTAGGTCACAAAAATATGAAAATAGATAACTACCTTGAAGGTGAAAGTTTCATTGAATACTGGGCTAAGAGTTTTCCGATGCACTTTGGTTTCAAATTTCTTCTTCTTATCAGGCAGAAGATAGACTTTCACATATGGATCAGATGTTCCACCCATATCCAGAGCAGGGAGATCTTCAGCTTGAATCACCGTCACTGCCAGACTGTTGGAATTGAAGTCGTACTCCAGCTGCAAATAGGACATAAAATGAGGGAATGTCCATGATTCACAATCTATTATTCTAGGACAATGGAAAATGTTATTTCTTGTAGCTTCCTTTATAAAATTATTAGAAAAAACACACTCATGTCATGTTTTTTCCATTGTTATGTAAGTTACAGTTATAAATTAAATTTAAAATAATTTTAACCTTTGGACTGTTTTTTTTCTAACTTAAAATGCTTAAACTACATAACAAACTTTTTATACAATATTTTTAAGTTTTATTTCAAATATGTTCTTTTGTTTCAGTTTTCTTTAATTTCAGTTTTCTTCTATTTGCTTTTATCTGATCTAAAAGAGACAACACTACACATTTATTTTTCCAAATATTTTATATACTTTTACCTGATATAATATATCTTAACAATATAAGCAATTTAATTGCAGTACAGACGATAACATGAAAACAGAACTGATCTTAGTTTACAGTGTGAGAAAACAGGTATCGACACATTTGGTGAGATGTCATATTTCGTGGACAATATTCACGCAAAATATCAACTAGTTGCTGGCCACTAACCATACCTTTATATACAGTAGTTATAGCTGCAGAAAATACTTGCCACTCGAGAACACTCTGTCATTAAGAACATAGGAATGAAAAGAAAGAGCATAACAAAGAGGATCAGAAATTAAGCATGTGAAAAAGACAGAAATTGACAAATGCTGTCAAAGAAACTCTCATTACTAAAGGTTTCTGGCATTTGTAAACTAAAGATTGCAGAGTACACCCAGAAGCAAGAATGACTTGTAATGAGTCCTAAAGGGAAGAGAGGTAATCATAGGAATGACTTGTTTATATTAAGTATTGGATGTTTGAATGCAAATATCATCTCTTGAAAATATCTACTTGAAATTTGTTATTGCCAATAAAATAAATATAAATGAAATTCTTGAAATTCAAAGCCACCAGTTAGTAATTATTTCAATTTTAATACAATGTTAACCTTTTATTCTGTATGTTGTTTTATATTATATATATATATATATATATGATATAATATATATATATATATATATATATAAGTTCTATATATTGTTATATGTAATATATATAAATAATCATATAATCTTAAGAATTTATTTTTCCTGCTGTAAATATTTGTATACCATTTATTCATTATGCATTTCATTTATCAATTTGAACCTCATTAAAAAAATGAAACAGACTTTGTATGGGCCCAATGATATTACATTTTATAGCTTATTAAAAAATGATGATGTAAATGACATGGAAATAAAATAAAATAAAATATTTTTTAAGAAATCTCAAAGTGCAACAGAGTGGAAGAGTTAACATTGTATCTCACAGTACTGTGGAAATCAAACAAGAACATACTTTAATGCTGATGTAGAGTATATTAGTCATAGAATTTGATGATATCAAAATTAATGACATTAAAATAAAATATTTACTAGCAAATTTCATCAAATTGCCATCTCCTACCTTGTATTGAATACGTCCCAACTTCACTTCACTCTGCTTACTTTCAGCCTCATCACCACCTTCTTCAGCATTTTCAGTCAGCTCCTCCATGTCAGGCTGCACCTGTGATGTGACTCAAGTCATCACACACGACCCAACTGGCCCCACGCTTTGCGCTGGCTTCGCATGCAGCATTCAATGTTTGCACAATGCATCAAGAACCATTGCTCTGCATGTCATAATAAAACCTTTAAAGTACTGAAGATAGCAGTAACATAAAAGGGAAAACTGTGCAAAAGTGAAATATGAATAACTCTTTATGTACATTCACTAGCAATCTGAATGTATAAATTTTCTTACGACAAGATATTTAAAAGATACATTTTATGATTAATGCATTAAACAACAATTATACTAAAATAGTCAATGATTTTTTCTATTTCAAAATTACTTACCAACTTGCCTCAGTTTAGAAGGAAGGGTCAAAATGTATATAAAATTAACTTACATAAGCACTTGCTTAGAAAAGGTTAGGCCTATCACATCTATAACTTGTCATGTATAACTTGTAAATGTTCCTTTTGTTCTGCAAAGAAACATTTTGTTCAAAACAATTTTGAAAGGATGGAAACCTCTATCTCTTAGAGACTCCTAGATATATTCGGGAATCAATATTTCAATTGAAATCTTTACTTGTGCACTAAGATTAACAGAGGTAGCCTCTATGTTTAATTATTAGATGAGAGGAAGGAAAGTCACAAGTAATCTTTTCTTATCAAGATTCATGCACAAGTGTGTAGTTTATACAGCATTTCATGCTACTGTGCTGAAATTAGAAATAATAAAATTTACTATTCTATCTTATGAATGGAGATGTAGAGTAAATAAAATTTGATTGAGAACAAAAAGCCAAAATTATTGTACCTCTGTGAAATATAAGATACGTGCATGGATTCTATCACTACTCATTTTTTTTATACTACCATAATAAATTGTACTTTAAAATGTATTAACTCTATCATAGGATGACCATTACTGAGAAAATTATGCATTTGTTATTTGGTATCCTCAACCTATTTTTGAGTTATATTTCATCACATTTATCTTTGAATAAGTAATCTTTTTTTGTCATATACAAAATATTTCAGTTTTATAGACCAGAAAGAAGAGGGAAATTATGCTCAAACATTTGAAGCAAAATTTGTATTTTAAATTTTTGATAGCACCTGTATTTTATTTCTGTTACAAAGAATGTTATTTAAGACATTGTCAAGAATCTAAAGATATTAAGCTTCTTCATACTCTTTGTATTACATATGTGTAAGTGAAAGAATTCTACTCCAATCCAGAAGAAAGAAAAACGTACTAGATCTTCATTTATTATCATTACATTGTGTCTGCAATAATAAAAATTGTAGTTGGCTTCCTTCAAATTTGACACTTTACGTACTTTAAGAATATACCCAATATAGAGATACAGCTGTTACAAGTTGCCTCTCTATAAGATAATTACTCTTAAAGAAATTCATAATTACAGTCCAGTCGTCAGCTGCAAATAAAGAATTTCCCCACTTATAATATTTCGTGCTTACAAGAGACAAAATTTCATTCCCCAAAGTCTCTTATAACAGGGTTTTGTATATCCAAGATGAAGAAGTACTGACATATGTATTAGACCAATTTCAGGAAAAGGTGTTCGATAAAGGGAGGAATCCAGCTTGAGAGGTTTCAGTAAAGGAACATAACATTCAACTAATTGAATACATTGTTTTTAAAATTACACTTACAATTCCCTCCCCCCCCCCCAATATCTTGGCAAGTTGTGTCATTTATGTAGAGTTGATTATCATTGAGAAGTTCACTGTTTCATTAAGGAGGACATATTTTAGCATTACTTTGGCTGATACATGATTCTGATTCATCTTATCCGATTATGGATTTGTGCATAGGGTTGGATGGCTCCAGAAGAAAGTATCAGCCACTTAATCAAATCATGTGATTCATTCTAATAAACACTTCTTTGCTTGTGTTGATTCTTTTTTAACAGACATAATTATGATTCACAAACAACATATGTTTGTTTCATTGAGAATTCTTCTTCTCAAAAGACAAAACATTGCCCTTATTACAGTTGTTTATCATAGGCAGGCAGGGCTATACGGTACTTAATTTATGATACACTTAGTAGACATAACACTAGTCCTAGTTTTGCGAGCCTGTTAGTTGACTGACCATCATTATAAATCTGCAAGTAGAATGGACATTTTTTCTTCTCCTTTTTCTTTTTTTTCCTTCACTAAGAATTGATATGACTTTCAAGTGTTCTAATGTGCTTTTAATTTTTTCTGGAGATTCTGTTGAGGACCTAAAAGAAAGCCTAAATGTTACGAATTTCTTAGGCCATAGCTATGAAAATATACAGGATGTTTCTGAAAAAGTGCACCATCGCAGATGACAGAGGAGAGGGAGCCAAGAGAACCATATTTTTATCAGTAAACCCAGAGTTTAAGAAGTTGAGACTCAGAAAGTGTGATTGTCCCCCCTGCAAATTCAACACACTTGAGTAGTACTTAACACCACTTTTTCAGGCTTAGTCATGGTAATGCAGCACTTAAGGCTCAACAATAAACAAAGAGCATCACAATTGAGAATGTAAAGGGTACAGAAGAGCCAGAAAATAAAACAATCTCAGAGTTACACTTTGTTATTCAATTCAATGCTAGAATAATAATAATAATAATAATAATAATAATAATAATAATAATAATAATAATAATAATAATA